CCCTCTAGTTTTCAACCTTCTACATATCCAACATCACCTCCTTCTTACCCCAGAGAATCTGATTACAGCAATGTTTTCAAAATGTCTTATCCTATTTTAAGACAGTTGAGAAAATCTCGACAACCGACTCTTTCATCTATCCAACCAATTCCTCCTCCTAAACCTCCAGTACGACCGCCTCACTTCTCCTCATCTGAAAGACTTTTCTACCCATCATCCTCATACACTAAACCTATTGAACCAACACTATCCTCTCAAGGAGTTGTAATAAGAACTCCACCATCATCTCCACCAAAACAAACTTCTCTTTCAGATAGAGAAAAACGAAAAGAAGTTGCTGATTCAAACAAAACCATAGCCACTTTCCAATCTGTGAATAAAGATCAGTCATCAACAGATGGAACCTCTGAAACTGAGTCTGATTCCTCTATTGAATACAGTTCTAACTCTGATTTTGAGACATATCATGCTGATATCTCTAAGGTAGCAATGGTCCAACCAGATCCTACAGTTGAAGATCCTATTGATGAAGAACCATCTGTCCCTCATACGTCTGAGCCAAGAAGAACAGACTACAGACCTACTACAAGTCCATGGTTCACTTTTGATGACGTTTCTCCAGAAAAATGGAGAGACAGACTCCATGAGTTTGGAGCATGGATTGACCTACAGCTTGCCAGGCATGATGCAACTCTTGAGGAAGTTCTCATAGAATTCCTCTCAAGACTAACAGGAACACTAAGAGAATGGTATAAAAGTCTTAGTGATTACCAGAAGATAGCAACAGCCAGAGTTGATAATGTAGGAACTCTTCTAGGACTCATTCACAAGGAATTCATTGGTGATTTCTAGATCATTGACAAAAGGTATCGCCAAGAATATTTTGAAATGAAATGTTGTTCCTTAGACAAAAGAGACTTGCAGAAACATTTTCAGAGGATGTCTGAAAAATACTACATGCTTGGAGGAGCTAATGAGTCAACCTCAGGCATACTTTTATTACCTCTCTTCCAGATGAACTGCAACCAGAACTTCATAGAGCTATCAATGCACTCCATAGAAATATGCCTGACATTTCTCTCGGAGAAATATATCAGTTGGCAGTAGCAACTGTGGATAAGCACTGTGAACAACAGAAGTTCTTCAAAGGAATGCTGAAAGGACAGTCAAAACTCAAACATGCTTAGAAGAAACCGCATCTGAAGATAAAGTGTAAAGATGATGAAGATTGCTCTTGTTCTACCAAGAGAAAATCTCATTATCATCTATTCAGATATCCAAAGGGTTCTTATTCCAGGAGAAGATGCAGAAAGCCTTTTTTGAGATATTTCAAGAGGCGCAGGCTTTACTCAAAGAAATCTAACCGATGTTACATATGCAAGAAAAAAGGACATTTTGCAAAAAATTGTCGTAACAAGACAAAAAAAGATGTGAAGATGCTGAAGCATTTTGGTCAATTTTTTGGGAAGTAGAGATGAGACTAAAATTGACCCTGAAAAAACTCTTAGAGTGAAATTGCTCACCAAAAAAACATATTTTAATGTGTTAGATAAACATTTAAAAATATATTGACGAGACATAGCCCCGCTCGTTTCGATATATTATTATATTATTATCTCTTGCTTGCTTGACACTAACGTCGGTGGTTCTGCTGGTGTGAGTTGCTGAGCATAACAGAGTAGAGATCGTCTTCTTCCTCCTCCTTAACCGTCAATGAAGATATTATCATTATCAGTTTATCCATCAACACTCGATTTTTCTATTCCCCGCTGGCTGATGTCTAAAGGTCTGTTTGGCTCAATGAGAAGGAGAGGAGAATCAGTCACCCAGGGTGATCAACAAATGGTGGAGCAGCAGCCACCAGTTTTCTTATTCACCAACAACTTGGAACAACAACACGTATGCGTCATCTTTTACCACACTTTCTTCAACTTCAACTGTGAAGCCTTTTCTTATTATTTTTTGGGTTGATATAATCATTGATCCCTCAAATTTACTCTCATTTTGGTCTTGGTCCCTCAAATTTTAAATTATGGGTTTTGGTCCCTCTAGGAGCAAAATTATCCTAGTTTTTATTGGGTTATAGGGAGCAATATTTTAAATGAAAAAAAACTTGAGAAACCAAAATCTATAATTTGAAATTTGAGAGATTAAAACCAAAATGAGGGTAAATTTAAAGGACTAAATTTTGTATTAACCCTTATTTTTTTCACTTTCTTTTTGCTTACAATTTTTAAGGTTGCTTCTGTTTATATAATTCCTCTATTATTACACTTCTTTAGTCTTATTTCGTTTCCCCTTCAAAGACACTTGTCAGATTGCAAGTATGCGTCCTGTGCTTTTCATCTGTGATGGCTTTTCTTAATTTCTACATTCCCTTTAATTTGATCGCTTCTTCTAAGATTTGCTCGTGTTTAATACCCCATTGTAGCCTTTTCTTTAGCCTTGTCTGGTTTTAGTTATAAACAATTTTATGAGAAGACACAGCCGTTATTATCAACAACATAATTTAGATTTTAACAAAAATTATTTTAATGTGTAAAGAATCTAAAATAAAAATAATCTCTTGTTATGTTTTTGGAAAAATAATTTTTCTATTTAAAAATTATTATTTGAAAATCTTAAATTTGCATCGTTGAAACTGTATTTGAGATTCAAGATGTAACTCAAAGTCTTTATCTTTATTTGACCTTTACCCAAATACGTTGGAATTTGAGAAGTTTAGAAATCAAAATAAGTTTTGAAACTAAGATTTTAAAGTGAAAAAAATTGTCAATTAATTATAAAAAAAAAACCATCAAATAGCCCAGGTTTAACGGTTATTTATAACCAAAAAAATTCAAATTTTGTCTTCAATTATTTGATGATAACTGTCTGTAGTTAACCAAAAAAATTTTTAAAAAATAAAAAATTAAACCCGTTTAATGGTTATTTATTTAAGGAAAAATTAGAGAGAAGGACCTAATGAGAATGATATTTATTGAGAAGGATCTTAAAAACTGTAATTATTTAGAAGAACCAAAATTAAAATATAAATATAAAATACTAATTTCCCCTAACCAAATCCCCTATATTCTCTCCCACTACATTCTGTAGTTTTTCTCTTTTTAATGAAATTATTGATATTTATTTGAATTAATTCAAATTAATCCGAATTACAAAGTTAAGAACCAATTCTAATTAATTCAATTAAATTAATAACCAACCTTAAGTAATTAATTTGTCCAACGTTTTGAAGTAATAAAGCTCTTTCTTTAAACTTTATGAATAATGAGCCGATCAAAGTCATAAGCTTCAATCATATTTTTTCATTTATTTCGTATTATTATTTTATTTCTTCGTATTATTATTTTATTTCAAATATAATTCCCATCCAAGATTAAATTGAATTCTCTTAGTTAACAACATTACAAATTAAGAAAGTAATATAATAATAAATAATATATAACTTATCCATAACTTGTAAGAAGTAAAAATATTGGAACAATCTTTTTATGTATATTATGACTTAATATATCCATGTCGTGAGGTACATATATTGGCGCGCGCATGTTTTTTTTTTTTTTTGGGACTTTGATATCTTTTTTAATCTTGATATGATTTTGGATAGTTGAGTCGTTAGCTAATAGAATTATGCAAGTCCTCACCCTTTTATCTACAAAATTAAATGATCAGAACATATTAAGAAAAAAAGATAGAAATGAAGGCCAAAATAAATATAGATAATAATTTAGTGTGAAATAATATATAATAATATTTTTATTCAATATTTAATATTTGGTATTATTAGGTCAAATTTTTATAGAGTCCATATAGAGGGTATCTCTCACAACTTTTATCTTTTACATTTATGTCGACTTAAACTTGAATTCTTGCACCTAAACCTCTCTAGCTATTTTTATTATGACAAATACATGTTTATATAATGACCTTTATATGTTATTTTTATCTGTGAAATTTGTGATTTTATTAACCAATAGGATTTGATTTATTCTTAAGTATCAGAATTATAATGTCCTAGAATAAAAGAAGAGTACGGAGTAAATAAACAAAAATACAGTTGAATTTGATGGCCCTGATAAGCTTATTATTAAAAAAAGCCTAAAAAAATTTTTATTGGCTAAACATGATGAAAAATAAATTAATTAGTGTTGGTTATTAATTTAATTAATTATAATTTGTTTCTGACTAAATTAGCTTAATTAATTTGAATAAATATTTATTATTATTTTGTTAGCAAAAAAAATCTTGATTATTATTTTACTAAATAGTGAAAAATTATAAGATGTGGTGAGAGAATACAAAAGTTATGGATAGGGGTAATTTAGTCTTTTGAAATTTATATTTTATTATCTGGTTCTTCTAAATAATTAGAGTTTTTAAGATCCTCCTTGGTAAATATTATTCCCACTAGGTCCCTCTCTCTAATTTTCCCTTTATTTAACCAACAAATATTTTGTCAATAAACTTGACGGTCAAAATAACAACTGTAAGTTAAATATTCTCCCAACTTCTGCCTATTCAACCGTCAAGCTTTATGTGGCCAAAAAGCCCACTTTTATAGTAGGGGATTCTTTATGTAAATATATATATGGATGTATATGTATATGTTTTTCTTGTATAATCCAAGTTTGCTTTCTAAATCAAACTTCAAAAGTGGAAGATGAGCTGGCTATAGACATCAAAGAAATGATTCAAGATTGCGGAGATGGTCTTCGGTCACCAGACTGTTGTATCTACCAAGTGCCCAGTATGCCCATCATCTTAAACAAGAGATTTACACTCCAAAAGTTGCTTCGATTAGCCCCTTTCATTATGGTAATGAGAGGCTGACAGACATGGAAAGACATAAACAAATATTGTTCAAAAGATTTGCTCAAAGAGCTATGTCAAGCTTGGATGATTTGGTTCGTTTTGTGAAACATTTAGAACTACAACTCCGTGCTTCTTATTCAAAAACCATAAACCTTGGTTAACAAGAACCTGTGAAACTGATGTTAATGGATGCTGGCTTCATCATTGAAGTCTTCATCATGTCCCATCAGAAGGATCATGGCGACGATGCTAAATTGACGCAGCACTGGTTAGTAAGTTCTATATTGCAGGATTTGTGTTTACTTGAGAATAAACTTCCATTCTTTGTTATTGAAGAGCTATTCAATAGAGCTTTTCCTGATGAGTGTCGTGGTAGGCTCCCTTGATTTCGTATAAGCTCACGTGTGAGTATTTTGAGTATTATGATGGAACAAAATTATTGCCAAATGTTGATGCTGAGGTAAAGCACTTTACAGATCTTCTTAGATCATTATACTTACAAGGAGAAAGGTCTACACAACAATTAATATTAGTGGATGGAAATCATCGTCTTTTATTCAATGAAAATGCATTACAATAAGCACGCATAAAGTTGAAGGCTAATAAGAGCAAATGCTTATTAGACATGAAATTTTCAGGACATATTCTTGAAATTCCACAATTTCTGGTGGATGATAGCACTGAACTTGTGTTTTGTATTTTCAGGACATATTCTTGAAATTCCACAATTTCTGGTGGATGATAGCACTGAACTTGTGTTTTGTAATATGATAACATTAGAAGAGTGTCATTATCCTTATGCTGCTTGCATTACTGACTATGCTCTTGTATTGGATTGTCTAATAGACACACAAAAAGATGTACATCTGCTTGTTCACAAGAAAATACTCTGCAGCTATTTAGGTGATACCGATGATGTTGCTTTATTATTCAATGGTCTTTTAGGAAATGTCAATCAATTGGCTTTCAGTACTAAATACATTGATATCTGCCAAAGGTTGAATGGCTATTGTGAAGATCATTGGCACAAGTTGTGGGCAACTCTAAGACATGATTATTGTCACACACCTTGCCAAACTGTTACTTCTATTGCTGCAATGATACTCATCCTTCTCACAGTTGTTCAAACCATATTTTCTATCCTCCAATTTGTGAAGTAAATTTACAGCTTTGTTTAATATTGGGATTTGATTATTGTGGACTCTGTTTTGAGTAAAGTAAATTTACAGCTTTATGTAATATTGGAATTTGACTATTGTGTACTATGATTTTGTTATGAGTGAAGTAAGTTTCCAGCTTTGGGTGATAATGTAATTTGATTGTTTGTGTCCTCCGACTTTGTTTCCAGTGTGGGCAGCGTACTCGTGATTAACTGGTGAAACAATTTCTTGTACCAGGTTCTTCTATTCTTGCAATTTTTGTAGCCATCAAATTAAATTAATCCAATCGCTGTTGTCCATATTAGCGTGCATGTTCTTGAGCATAACAAACATTGGATAGGATTAATTATAGAGGACACAGGAGGTGATTCATATATACATGCTTCTGGCCATTTATTTTCACTTTTGGTTATGTAACTATCTTTAAAAAGGCACGTACTTGATAATGATACGAGAAAAGTGTATATTAAAACTTTATTTGAATGTTAATGTCTACAATAAGAACGACGATTTATATTGCCGATTGCTTTATCATTCAAACCTGATAGATGGAAGATGACGTCACCGTTGATGTCAAAGCAATGATTCAAGATATACGGAAGATGTTCTGTTAATACCAATATGAAATTTGTAGGTCATGTTCTTCAGATCCCACATAATATAGCTATGGCGGAAGATAAAACCGAAGTTTTGTTTAGTAATATGACGGCTCTAGAAAAATGTCATTGTTCTTTTGATTTTAAATTTTTTAAAGCTTATACTTAATTTAATTTTATTGGTAATATTGTAATATTTTTATTTTAAAACAAATTTAATTTGCGTCCTAAATGTAAAATTGTTAAATTTTTTAAAACAATAAATATATTTAATTAAAAGATATACATATGTATAAATTTCTCATCACAAATTAATTTAAATTATATATATAGAAACTTACTTTCACATCCAATCAGTTAAATTATAATTTAAAATATTAATTGAGACCTTTATTTTGATATTAGTCTTTTTTTTTCAATATTTCTTTAGTAAGATTCATTGTTGGCTTGACAAACGTTTAAAGTTGAAGAAATTCACATGTCTGTGATTGTTATGAAGGTATTTTCAGAATTTATATTAATTTTTTCAATTCAAGATTTATATTCGACTGTTGCTTAAATTATTCTTTAATTTTTTCCGGGTAATAATCCATTTGTTTTTTAATGTTTTAAATTGGTCGCGAATCAATATATTTTTTTTTCCATCCTATGAAGAACGGCCAATTCCGTGGTGATTGGCGAAGCATGTATAAATAGACAAAATGAAACTAATAACAGATTAAATGATTACATCGTATAAACAAAACCATTGAATGAAGGGAAAATTCCAGATAAAGAAGGCTGAAATTATCATATTTCAATTCAAGTACGTAAAACTTTAAAATGATAGAAAAGAAAGTAAAAGAGCTTTGGCACCTGCAGCAGAGGCTCTCTCTTTTTTAGCAGGAAGGGAGGTTGCGGAGATTTGATCTCGTAACCCGGTGATTCCCAAAATCCAGGATGACCATCCAACAAACACATTTAATCGGCACCGTCATGCCAAAAAGATGTAAATACAAATTAACTCTTTACTTTGGCTCAACCCATCACAACAATTCATTTAAAAATAACAAATTTTGACTGTAAAATGACAAGTTTGGATCTGAAATTATCAACGCGTTTTTTCCTGATACATAACATGTGAAATAACATGTAAATTAATTTATAAATACCTTTTTAATTTATATGTCTATATAACACATTATAAATTAAAATACTTTTTCACATGCTTCGTTTATCTCTTTTTTTGTTTTTTGGCGTCTCTTCCATCCTTTCTGTTTTTGGGCTACGTAATTGCTTCGCATGCTATATATAGATTAAGCGACTAAAGGCCCTTGCATTTCCAGGGAACATATATCAAAAGTATATACCTGGTCCAAAAAATTGAAAAAAGAATCCATAATAACAATCTATTTTGTTTTTCTATAATATATTAGTATCATTTTGCTCAAAAAAATATTAGTTTAAACAAAGTTTACTGTTGATTTCTATAAAAATAGTAGCACATACCTCTATTGAGTTTTACCAAAGGGAAAATGACCAAAAAAAAACCTAAAATTTGGAAATTCTAATTCAGGCACTTAACATTTCAAAAACCCAAGAAAGGAAGTAGTGCCTAAACTGGTATTTTACAAATATAATTAAATAACTAAAATGTCCTAATTTCAAAAAGCTTATAATAAGTTATGAACTGATAATGACAAGTGTTGAATAATAAATAACAAGAAATGTACTAGCAATAACAAGTTTGAAGCATTTTAGTTATTTAACTATATTAACAAAATACCATATCATGCACCACTTTCTCTCCCTAAGGTTTTGAAGTGTTAGGCGCTTGAATTGAGATTTCACAATTTTCAGGTTCTTTTTTTTTCCTTTTTCCCTTTATTAAAATTATATATACATCCATAGGACTCAACCCCCAGGAAAAAAAATATGTTGTTAATCTGAAACCCAGTAAAATAACTATGACGAAGACAATGTTTTAGATGAAGCGGTCATCGTGAGTGCATTGGTTAGTGAGTATGCAGTAACATATTTATGTAAAGAGCCATGTAGAACAAGTGACCAAACTGGTCATGCATGGGTACAAGAAATATTGCGAGGCAATCCCACTCGGTACTATGAGATGTTTCGAACGGAAAAACGTGTATTCCATTATCTTTGTGCTGAATTGTCGGATCTAAAGGTCACTAAACATATGGGGGTCGAAGAAATGGTTGGAATGTTTTTAAATATGGTAAGTCATGGAATAGATAATAGAATGATACAAGAAAGATTTCAACATTCAGAAGAGACTGTTAGTAGACATTTTCATAAGGTTTTACGTGCTTGCTTGCAATTGTCCTTCAATTATATCAAGCCACAAGATCCTACCTTCCGTGAGTTCCCATCAAAAATTCAAAATGACCCACGATATTGGCCATTTTTTAAGAATGCTACAGGAGCAATAGATGGAACCCATGTTCGTTGTGTGGTTAGCTTGTCCGAACAACCAAAATTTATTGGAAGAAAAGGATATCCTACACAAAACATAATGGATGCATGTGATTGGGACATGTGTTTTACTTTTGCTTTAGCTGGATGGGAAAGCACTGCACATGATGCTCGTGTTTTTTATCATGCTCTTACAACTCCTAGTATGAACTTCCCGCATCCACCTCCAGGTTTGTTTTCTTCTTATATCTTGAAATTGATATGCTTGATACAAATTATATATATTTATTAACATTATGATTCTTTATTAGGTAAGTATTATTTGGTGGATGCTGGTTACCCTACACCAGTTGGGTACATTGGTCCGTATAAATGTAAACGTTATCATCTACCAGATTTCAGGTGTTCATCAGGATTTCAAAATGAGAACGAGATATTCAATTATTATCATTCAAGCTTGAGGTGTACTATAGAAATTACTTTTGGGGTATGGAAGAATAAATTTGCAATTCTAGATCACATGCCTCCGTACAAAATCCAAACACAAGTTCAAATAGTCATTGCAACCATGGCTATCCACAATTTTATTAGAAGGCATACTGAGACTGATTTTAAATTTAGTCAGTATGAAAATGAAAATATCCTCGAAGGTAATTATGATGATCATGTTATTTTATATCCATCACCAAGAGCCAACATAGTTTCCTCATCAAAAATGGATCGTCTTTGAGACTCAATTCGAGATCAAATTCTGCAATGCAAGGAAAATAATTAGCTATCATTTTTATTAATTAGTTTTGTTGTTTAAATTTTATTTCTTAGTTATAATTTTGATTGAACATTCAATTTCCTTATCTGTTACTAAAATTGCTAATCAAATTTTTTTTATATATTTTCATTCATCTCTTATTTATATGGGGTCTTTTATTTAATATTTGTACTACACATAAATTTTGTAAGTGATTTTAAATAATAATAATTTTAAAATAAAAATAATATTTAAATATTCATGTCATTTATTAAATTATATTTAATAAATTTATTATTAAATATAATTATTAACTTTATGTCCTTTTTAGTAATTATACACCCATAAGTGATTTTAATAAATAAAAACCAAACAAAATCACAATTCTTACAATCACTTATAAAAAAATATCCAAACAAAAATCACGATTAACTAGTGTCACTTATAGCCAATATTACTTATAAAATTCACGATTATCTAAAATCACAGTTGTTTACCGCTAATCCAAACGGACACTAAAGCGCTAAAGCGCCTTGTATATCTCTCTCACATGCAATTATAACTTCATGGTAGCACATTTCATGCCCACCAAAAAATGGCCATAGAATGCTCATCTTAATTTAGACTATTTAAATTCATTTTAGATGGTCAAAATTCAATTCAAATTTTATTTTCATGTTTTAAATAATTTTTTATTTTAAAAGATATAGAATTTAAAACAAATTTAATATTATAAATGACACTTAAGAAAATAAATTTGTCATTAAAAATTTTGAAGATTAATAATTTTAAATCTAGGCTTTCGAATTTAAATTTTGGATGGTTGAAATTTTATCATTGTGATAAGCACTAGATGAGGATTCCAACTTCATAGCGACAACATTACTCAGCACATAGATTTCGCAAGTTTTTCTTGTTTATATTTAATTCTTAAAAAATAATAATCTTGTACGATGTCAACTTGGTGGTAACGAATTGACTATATTAAACCAGCCATCTGAAACAATTTTGCCCTCCACGACGTAAAATAATTTGACAACTTGCGGCACAAGGGACAATTCATGATGGGGAAACCAACATGTTTAATAGATTTTAATTATAATTTTGTAATTTATCATTACAATTTTTGTCTCACTCAGTTCGTTTGACATGCGTATGCTGCCGTGTAACACACACACACACACAATACTGAGAATTGACTATTAAATCATTCATTTTTGTAGATTTACAATTTGGATTTA